CAGAGGAGGAGAAAACTGAAGAAGAAAACCCGGAAAAAACAGGCAGTGAAGTTCAGAAAGATCAGGAAACACCTCAGGATAAAATTCAGTACACGCAACCAGGAATGAAGGAGGAGGAAAGCAGCCATTTCTTTGCCTACTTTGTCACTGGAGCTGTACTGGTGGCAATGCTTTACATCGCTATCCACAACAAGCGCAAGGTACGTTCCTAATCATTTATAAAGATATTCACTATAACATGCAGCCTAAAACAAACTAAACTCATTTTGTCTCTTGTGATTGATTCCTTTACCTTAAACAACAAGTTGTCACAAAGGGGAGCCGTGGTTTCAATTCAATCACCCATTTTTAAGCTACAGGTGGTTTGTAGAGGGCTGAAGCTAATTTTAGCAGAATATACTGACCAAAATTTCTCTATTGTCTTTTTATGTTTTTAGATTATTGCCTTTCTTTTGGAAGGAAAAAGATCCGGATCCACTCGACGACCTAAATCCGCACACTACCAGAAGCTGGAGCAAAATGTGAGATATAGCAGCAGTGAATCACTGAAGGAGACATTTTTTGCAATCTCATTGAAAAAATCAGTGGGCTTGACTTCAGGTTTTTTTGCTCAGTGATGCTGTTTTAACCATGTCTCCTTTTCATTGTTAAATTATGAACTGATCTTAATGTGTTGAGTCCTGTAATGCACTTTTTAAGTTTAGTGTTCTAGCCACTCTGGGGAAATTCATCACTGTCATATTTTCCGATAAAGGTCTGATACTGCCAGTTTTTAAGGTCACCAATTCTGAATTGTTGAAAATATTTCTTAGTATCTCAGCTGTCAAATAAAGATTATACATATAAGAAAGAGTCATACTGACAGGCCTTCACAGCAAACATTTTTTGACAACAGAAAGCTTTAGAAAGAGATCTGAAGTTTATCTTTGACTTAACCCATCATTGTACAAAGGAATTTGGAATGGATTTGAGGAGATGTAGTTCTTTATAACAGCATCCATTGACATGTTGGGGTGACTTGCAACTGTTTTTCTTTCAGATGTGATCCAAAGCTTCCTGGAAAAACTGTGGTGGATCTGCACTAAAGAAAAGGACCTTTCTCTATATGGACACTTCCGATTTTGACTTTTAACTGTTTGTTGCATGACTAAGCATACGACAGATTGCCTTATCCGGAGGGTATGTTAAGTAGGCTTGCAGTATTTTGCACTTGTGTAAATGTTTTGATTTTTGGGCCTTCTGGTTTGAGGGAGGTGGTGGATCAGGATGCTTGGTAGCAAATCAGTTGTCTTAAATCTGTCTTGTTTTTATGTCACAGTATAGATGTCAACATGTACCTGAATAAGCCATCACAGAGTGTTTTGTTGCTTTGGAAATGCCTTTAATATATGCTGTTTCCTTGAAAACAATCTATTTTATAATTACAGGTATAATCAGGTTAATGTCGCCTGGCTAATCTGTGGTCCGCTTCCTCTGTTTGAGCTGAGGAGGCTTCAACTTGTGCCACTTGATGGGTTGGACTCATCCATTAAGTTTACCTATAAATGTATTTGTAGGATAGGATTTCAGTGCAGCCTCTTTGTTTTTTTGCTGTCAGGAAAAAGAGTGCTTTGCTGAAACTACCACTAAAATATGAAGTTGGGTCAGCCATCAAACATTTGTTTTGTTATTTAGAAATGAAAAACCAAATCTTTTCCAAATGGTTTGAGATAATCCTGTGGTTTATCTTGTCTTTTTTTTTTTTTTGCCTCATACTTTGAGGTAAACCATTTTTTTTCTTCTAGGAAGTGTGTATGAACCAACTTGCAGCTTTCTAGAAACAGTTGTTTGTAATATCTGAAATTGTTTTAAAATTTGACCTGTGGTTTTCTGTGAAGATGGGTATCGGGAAGGATTAAATGATGAGGTATTTCAGAAAGAATTGTATAAAGATAACGTTTTTTTAAAAATATACCAGATCTAAGCAGTTTAGTGCTTCTACTGAAATAAATGATATCTGCTTATTTTCTTTTGTCAGTTTCTTTTGTCAGTTTGATAGATAGATAGATAGATAGATACTGAATTTATCTAAAAATATCTTTGGCACAGAGCACCACAAAATAAAATGATTATGGTAAAAACACAATTGGTCAGCTGCCAATTATGGTAACTAGACTGGAGTAGATTTAAAGTGCTAATCTTGTGGAAGATTTTTAGTCTTCAGGCAACAAATTCCACGTATTGGCTCAGGGAAAACCAGTTTGACCAGATGAGTTTTTACTGATGGTACCTTGCAGTTTGTGCAAGGTACTATCCCCTGTGCATTTGGGGGGCGGTGAACTGTGGAAATAGGGAAGGAAAAAACATGTCAAGATGATAACATGAGATAATAGCCTGATTCATATTCTGCTGAAGTTTTAGATCTGTTGCAACAAATTTTCACTATAGTTTAGTCGGATCCAGCCACCACAGAGTTTTAGAAAAGCGGTGCTAACTGGATCTTCAGTAGCCTCGTGAGACCATCCTGATCTCGCGAGCTTTCAAGTTTTCACTCGCAGATCAGTCTGGAGACTCTCCGTTAAAGAAAATTTGGAGCCGTTCACCAAATGAACGTCCAATCAGCGTTGGCTTTGAGGCAGGTTGAGGTGTGACGCAACGAGAAGCGCGACAGTTCAGTCTA